TAATCTGCCCAACTTTCTATATACATAAGTGTGTGTATGTATATATATATATATATATATTTTTTAAATTTATATCATCCACTGGGTCAAAAGGAATTATAGAAAAATACTGAAATATGGGGGGGTAATGTTACATAAAGTTTTTTGCGATACAAATTACGTATGAACTAGCAAACCCTTTTCAGCAAACTAGAGCAGCAATATTGGGAGTTTACAGGTGTTTTTGTTGTGTTCAGCATGTAATGGAGGTATGTAAATGTGTCGAAATGGGCGTAGTGCGAGTGGTTAGTGCTAGTAGCACTAATCCGAAATAGTACTAGATCTAGTGCTAAAATGGCACTAGATCTAGCGCTAAAATGGCACTAGATCTAGTGCTAAAATGTACATAGTGCGAGTGGCATTGATATCGCATTGTCAACGACGTCGAGACATCCCGTAATTGTCCGAAAATGAATTAATATTTATGTAAATCAAATGAATTAATATTTATGTAAATTGTTGTATCTTTCATTCATTGGGAAATGTGCTGCAGTGGGAAAATTGAGAATGTACATGAATGTCATTGTCCACGTTTGTCGTAATCACCGTTACTAAAAGAGACCTTTGAAACAACGCGATCGGCCGGGAAACTAGCTCCACAGACAGTGAAACTGCAGGTCAAACTTCGCAATTTTTACAAATTGTGAATAGATACACTGTATGAAATCGTATTGTGTGGAAGTTTGTGTTTTCAGCTTCGGTGGATATAAACTTGTAACTTATATGTAAATGGTGGAATTCAGCGTTGATTTTTTTTAAATCGCTGACGTGCCGTTTTATTTCTAGTCGGCGCCACATTTAATGAAAATAGATCTTCGAAAATGAAATTATGATGCCATATGTGAACTAAATAAAAAATGTGTATACTCCTAGTCTAAGTCCTGGGTCCCTGTAAAGCTCGGTGGATTTTGTGTGTACGGCGACCTGTGAATGGGCATGTCGCTCAGTACCGCTGGGAACCAGACAGAAAATGAACCGTTGTCTGGTTGTCATGACATTGACCTTTGCGGACATAATCAACCAATTATAAAAGTGGATTCACGCAATCCTGTTGTTACATTGTACCAAGGAGCATAGACCTTAGAATGTCTATGCAAGGAGGTACTAACGGAAGGAGCGACAACCCCTCTCAAGTGGCCATTTAAGCCTCTTAACTGGCTTATTTCCTTTCGTTTCAACCCAAGTTAATCCTGATAAGGACACTGTCTAGCTCATCTTTGATGCCAATGATAGTTTGCGATTGCTTACACAAGTAACCAGTTAGCGGAATATGATATAACCTCGCCGATTTTTTAACATGACCATATAATATATGTAGACACTTTCTCAGCAATAGTATTTTTTAGGAGTCCTATTATTTGTTCTAGACTCTCGAAATTTTGTTCTTGTTACAATTGCTAATAATTAAAACATGTGAAATCTGTGAAGTTACAAGTTAGTCTGTTGAATTTCCGGTTGTGAAATGCGTATTTTAACCCTTCATAGCTAAACAAACCCAGTGCGCATACGTGATGACCGTAGTTTCGTAATGCGGCGATTTTTCGGCAGTTTTTAAATATTTTGGCGTAATTTTTTAGACATTTCAATCTTTCCGGACGCCTAAAATAGTCTATTTAAGCACCGTCCCTCAACACGGACGGTGATTTAAATTTTTATTCAAGAGCGTGTTTATTGTTACAAGCGTGAATGGGTAAGCTTCGTGTGGACAAAGAGCTGCTATCACTGTAAACAATATTAAATTATTCTTCTGATGCTCAGTTCATCTTTTGAAAACAGCTATTTTTTGACTTGAAAAAAAAAAATCATGCCATTTTCCCATCACAATCCAAGCCAAAATATCGTACTACAACATCGGCAAATCTCTTCCGCGTTGCGTTCAATCTATTTAAATGAGCTATGGTGATTTGAACACATGGGCATCCTTCAGCATTTTGATTGGTTAATTAGCGATTTGACCTATTAACTCAACTCATGCAAAAGAAACATGGCGGATACCCTACAGCATCGAGCGTTTATATGCGATCGGAATCATTTGCTTACGATGAAACTAAGTGAATTTTATTTGAATTTCATAACAATTCAACGAATTTATTTTTTGTGCATTATTATAATCACTACTGAATAATATTCAACAATTGTGAGACGCAGCATGACCGGATTGCGCAACCAGAATCATTTGCTACTACACAATGCAGTTGTGTTCGTTTTTATTTGAAACTTCGTTGAGAATATACTTTCGTTACCAATAAAATAAAAACAAATGTATTTGAAAAATGACACTGGGCGATATTGTAATGAAATTGCAGGCGGTCTACTTTTTAATTCAACAAGAATTATTAATTATTATTGTTAATTCTGCAATAGTTTCTTTCGTCTTTGGTGGCCCAACTGACGGTGTTAAAAGTCTGCGTACACTAGTTAGATACTTCAATGATGAAAATGGAAGTCCTCAAAAAATATTTGATGATTATTTTTTGAAATTCTGAGCCCAAAATAAGTGCCCACCAGCCGTGAAATCCCCAGGCGATTTTCGGATGGCTAATTTACGACGGCATATAAAGAAAGTATTATTATGGACATCTCGCGTATATTGCCCATGTTTTATACTGTTTGTAGTTTGCATATGAAAGTGGTTGTTGATGCCCCTCCTATTATTCGACGTCGTTGACAATGCGATAACAATGCCACTCGCACTGTGCACATTTTAGCACTAGATCTAGTGCCATTTTAGCACTAGATCTAGTGCCATTTTAGCACTAGATCTAGTGCCATTTTAGCACTAGATCTAGTACTTTTTCGGATTAGTGCTACTAGCACTAGCCACTCGCACTACGCCCATTTCGACACATTTACATACATGTGTAATGTCATGAAATGAACTTGTATTGTAATAGAATAATAGACATTAAAGAATTGAGAGACAATAGAGAAAATAACAAGCAGCCTATCGGCTGAGATAGCTCCGCTGTTAGCAATGCACATTTCAATTAAAGAACTGAGACATCATTAGAAAATGAACAATATGAATAGTATCAAAGCATCGGACTTACAGTTTTTAACAGAGTCGAAAATTATCACTTTTTACCAAAAGTGACAAAAATATTCACTAAAATTAAAGAATCAAAGATATCATCACGAAATGAACAAATCTGAGAAAGGTCTACATGTAGTATCTATATATGTAATATCAAAGCAATTGAACTATTGGTTTTTAACAAGAAGTCGAAAATATCACTTTTTACCAAAAATTACAAAAATATTCACCAAAATTAGAGAATTAAAGATATCATCACGAAATGAACAAATCTGAAAGAGGTCCACATGTAGTACCTATATATGTAATATCAAAGCAATCGGACTTACAGTTTTTAACAAGAAGTCGAAAATATTACTTTTACCAAAAATATTCACCAAAATTAGAGAATTGAAGATATCAACATGAAATGAACAAATATGAGAGAGGTCTACCCAAGGTACATATACACCAAGTATCAAAGCATTCAGGCTTGTAGTTTTCAAGAAGAAGTCGAAAAAGTAAAACATTGACACGGAAGACAAGGGACAATCACTCATATGATAAGCTCCAGCTCAACAAAGTCGACAGCGGAGCTAAAGATGATAGCAAAAAATGCTGATGAAAATTGTTTTTCTATGTATGAACATTTGTGATCAGTGACAGGATTATGGTTTTATTACGAGTTACATGTATACATTTCTGTGTTCAATGTAAACACAGGAAAGTGTTCTAATGTGACATAACATATTTAATATTGGTGATGTGGTTTACATGTATACATTTCTGTGTCCAATGTAAACACAGCAAAGTGTTCTAATGTGACATAATGTATTTAATATTGGTGATGTGGTTTACATGTATACATTTCTGTGTCCATGTAACACAGCAAAGTGTTCTAATGTGACATAATGTATTTAATATTGGTGATGTGGTTTACATGTATACATTTCTGTGTCCAATGTAAACACAGGAAAGTGTTCTAATGTGACATAACATATTTAATATTGGTGATGTGGTTTACATGTATACATATCTGTGTCCAATGTAAACACAGGAAAGTCTTCTAATGTGACATAACATATTTAATATTGGTGATGTGGTTTACATGTATACATTTCTGTGTCCAATGTAAACACAGGAAAGTGTTCTAATGTGACATAACGCATTTAATATTGGTGATGTGGTTTACCCCATAATCACCTGACATTTGAGTACAACACACAGACATCACAACAACAGCTGCTGTTTTCCGTTATCACAAAATCTAATGAAATTATCATTTACTGTCATACCTCCATGTACAGCTGGATGCAACGTCTTAACTCTACCTCCCAACATTTCAGGTGCACCAGTTACATCAGACACATCACTGTAATACAAGAACAAGAAATAAAATTAAAAATTATTATTATTGAGCGGGTATGTAACTTTATAGCGTGTACAACAGTCATTAGAGTATCTAGGAAAGTGTCTGGGGATGTTGCAAAGTCCCTCATTGTCTACCAGGTGCGGAAGTTTGGGGTATTTAATATCTCGCATCCGCTGTAAACATTTTTTTATGAGATTCTCATTACAATTTTTGTTCTGTTGATTGTGAAAGTTAAAACTAAATTCCCTAAAGTCTCAACTTATATGCATGTCAGTCAGTGTTCTCCACAAGGGGTTTCAATTTTTACAGCCCGCCTCGTTACTCTCATCACTCGTCCAACAACGTACATCCAGCTGAAATTATTTGTAAAAAGCTTGCATTTG